CCCCCCCCCCCCCCCCCCCCCCGAAAAGCTATGCACCTTCATTCAGTGATGAAAAGCAACATGCTTTTGGTAGTTCATGAGAAATTTGGCTTTTAAAGTGTGACATTCTGTTGCATAGAATAATGTTAGGACATCTGTCACCTGGAGGCCTGTACAGCTGGTCTGCTTTAGTACTCAACTCCAACTAAGCCATGATGATGGCATGGGTATAATTCATCCCCTTGCTGCCATGGTAATGTTTTTACAGTGCATGAACTTCTTTTAGTACTGCCTTCTTTCTCCCATTCCATTTGAGCTCCTCTAGAGCAGTGGTTTTCAAGCTATGGTCCATGGACCCCTGGGGGGTCCACAGACTGTCTAGGGCAGTAATTCCCAAACTTTAACAGATTGCACACCACCAATTTAAAATAATACAACCTTAACTACCACCAGTAAATTTTTCAGTTCAACCTGAAGTACCACCCGCAAATTTTTGTTGTATAAAGTAATTATAAGAAATCTGTTGACATACCACTGACAGGTTGTCTGAATACCAGATTGGGAACCACTGATCTAAGGGGTCAATGAAAGATAACTATGATCATTCAAAAGTATGTGAATACCCTATAGGTGCTGACTTTTTAATTTTTTTTCGGGGGAGGGGGGGATGATGGACATGTATAAAAATTTCTACATCACCATGGTGGGGGAGGCTTCTTGCCTTACACTTGCCTACAAGGAAACCTCATTAAATGCATCATCTATCATTAAACTGCCAAAACCAGCTTGTACTCAGTAATGGAAACCACCTATGAATGTAATTAAATGTAGCCAACACTGAGTGTGACTATAAAACACATCGCCCATATTGAGCAAACCATAATGCTAAGAGTCTACCACAGGGATAGTTCAGTGCAGCCCATCTGAATAAGATATATGATAGTGCCCAGTGTGCCCAGTCCCCCCTCAGCACTTATTCTTTTTTAGGGTCATGGTAAGCTGCTACATTGAATGTATTTTGACTTCCTCTTCACTCCTATGGCTGAGCTGTACCTTTCTTTCCCATTTCCAGTGATTCCTGTTTATTCACCAGCCTTAAATGCCTGGCAGACATCACCAAATGGGGCCCCAAACAGTTCACCCAGAATCCTATTGTTACCTTTCTCTGTCTATTGTGTACGATGTGTGGGCTCACCCTCTATGAGGTGAAGCTGGATCAGGTTGCCCTGCACCTCATCTGCAGATACATTCTTGAAGCATTCCAGGGCTTGTGACCAGAATACCCGGTTCCAGTCATGAGTAGGAGCTAATTATGGGGGACTGTATGAAATATGCACACATACCTCATACCATGCCAGTGCTGAGGTATAGGATCACTGGCTTGAAACACTGACTCTGCTGGGACCCAGCCCAATCAACAGTATGGTAAATAAGCCTTTTGGCATTGGACTAATATTATGCATAGTTTGTACTTTATATAAGTAGGTTCAAAAGGGCTGCTTAAGAGTAGTTTTTTGAGTACCCATGCTAAAACTTGCAGCGGTTTCAAAAAAGGTAAAAGCAACAATTCTAGATGAACTAAGTCTATAGGTATCTTTAGTAATTTGCCTATATGCAAATTACTACAACTATGTTTGCTTCAAGGTCATTGTTTTCAAATTTGTCCATCGCTTCCATGTACTCAGGCATAACAGGGTCTGACAGTAAAGGGGCGGTGGGAAAAGGGCTGCAGGGGGAAGAAGTGAGGGGGTGGCAGAGGGCAAGGGGCTGCCTGATTCCCCGGATATATTTTCCCTGCTGTAGCAGTAGGCAGGAGACTAATTCAAGGCAAACCTCCAATAATTAGGTTCTATACTTGGAAAATTGTAACAAAATCATAAATTATAAATATTTTTCCATATATAATTATTGGGGGTTGTCTTATATTTGAGTAAATATGGTATATTCTAGCATTATTGCCTGCTCTTGTGTACCAACCTCCTTCCTTTTCCCCCTTTACAGGAGGTGAAGTTTGAACAGTAGGTTTCACAGTATGGTAGAAGCTTCATCCTTGGGGGGGGGGGGGGTTTCAAAACCCTGCTAGACAAAGCTTTTGCTGGGATGATCTAGTTAGGGCTGGTTCAGCTTTGAGCAGGGGTTGGACTAGATGACCTCCTGAGGTCCCTTCCAACCCTACCTTTCTATGATTCTATGTAAGTGTGAGTGTTTTGGGTACTATGTGCTCTAATAGGCTTCATTAGAAGCAACTTGCTGAGGTATAGCAACACTGATGATAGAGAGACCTGCTACCACCATGTCTCTAAAAACAGATCATCTTATACACTTATTTGAACTCCACTAAAGCTAATGGAATGTCTCCTGTTGACTTGAGAGGGCTTTACACTAAGCCAACAATTTTCAACCAAGGTGTTGTACTTTTAAGAATGCCATTAGTACTGTTAGGTATGCAGACACGTATGCATGATTCACAGATTAAACCCAAAGATTTCAAATAGGATTCCATAGTGTCAAAACATTCTGACCTACTGTGATCCTTCTGAATTCTTTGCAACAGAAAACTTGATTTAGTATTTTCCCATGGTCAAAAAACAAGTGAAAGGTAAGAGCTTACATTTTCTGAGGGGTACTTTGGGTCTAAAGAGGTACATTGAGCCTAGAGTCTAAAAAGCTTTAGATCTAGTGAATTAGACCCTCAGTGTTACGACTCACTAACTAGGAAAACTTAAAGTACAGCATAAGAGTCTGAAGTCTTCCTTGCATGTACTGTCTACTGTTTGTGATGATGTTTATTGTTTGAAGTACACAGCCCTCCTCCCCCCCACCTCCCTTTATATTGCATATAGTATCTAGCCTTTCCTTCTAAATGACGTGCACATCCATGAAGACACTATTACAAATCTCCTGCGTGTGTTCAAGGTTTTTTATTTTAAACCCAAAACTTGCCCTTTTCTCCCTTTTTAAAAGCAACACACACTGCCTTCCTATTTGGTTCTGAATATATGCAAGTGGTGAATCCTTACCAGGGACACTTTTATTTCTTTTAATATGAAGAGTAGAGGGGGAGAAGGACTGATGAACTGTGCTTTGGCTTATGCTTATTTATGGAACCAAACAATTGTTTTCTATGAAAATATAAAATCATAGACCAGTTATTTGGGAAGAATAGTTCTTAATTTGATTTTTATATATGCAGCCTGCACAGCTTAATAATAAATCCTTCAGTGAAAAGCTGATGTCACTTTTGTTTTATTTACAGTCTCCTCTCAGCCATGACCTCATCCTTAACCTGACTCAGGATGGAATCAAACTGCGGTTTGATGCTTTCAATCAGAGACTTAAGGTAAGATGATAACTAGGATAGATTCTAACCTAATATGATGATTGAACAGATGAATCCAGTTGTTTATATGCTACACACAATGTGCTCTGGAAATAATTGGCTATATTGTGAGTTTCAGTGGCCAAATGTCATATTTGTAGAAATAGTTAATGTTAACATATTTTGTTGCAGACTATATATAGATGCCATAAAAATATACTCATTCTAACAAGATATGTTTTCACTTGTTTTAGATTGGAGCATATGCTTAAAAGGACTTGACTGATCAGTTTAAACACAGGATCTAAGTTCAGATCATGGATTACTGCAGTAAAAGTAGCTGTAGTATTGGGAGGCAGGGCAGAGTCTTCACCCAATTGCTTTTTTTTTTTTTTTTTCTTGCTTTTTACTTCTGTAAATCCTTGTTCCCACCTCCACCCACCCTTTAATTCCTACTTTTAGGTGAATTATGTTCATAATAAAATCATGTGGCCACTGGTGTACGTTTACTCTTGGAAGGCCAGATAAAAGGCTTGTGTAACCACTAACTTTACCATGGAGTTAAATTCTAACAGTGCAGTTGAACCCAAAAGCTTAAGAGCCTCAGCCTACCAACCCCACTCACAATGCTCTGAACATATTGTTACTTAAACAGTTTGTATACAAAGAATGCTTTTTATATTCACCATCTTTAGTAAATGACAAGTTGGTTAAAAGTAGCCTCTCCGTGGAATCTTGGAAAAAACAATAAATGCTACTATTGATGTGATGTGATCGGTTTTAACCAAGCAAATTGGTGAGTACAGGTGTAGGGCTTGGTGGACATTTGGTTGTTAGTATGAATTGAATAGCATGCTCTACCTTTTCCTTCAGACAAGATTCCTCCAAAAGAAGGGGCAGCTATACATGTGAATTGAGGCTGCTCTAACACGCTGTAATTACAGCACGTCAGAGCAGACTCGATCAACGCATATGCAAATTAGGTACATGCCTAGGGCCCTAAGTGAAGAACGGGCCCAGTTGTGGTTATTTTACATGCTCTAATTATTGAGTGAAAAGAAGTAGGGGCCCATGAGTTTGTTTGTCTGGTGCCCACTAAAGGGTTAATCCGGCCCTGTCTGTTGTAGCAGGGTAATTACTAGAGGTGCACCAATACATCAGTCCGATATCAGATCAGCACTGATACAGTCAATTTTTTTTTGTATCAGAAACTGGCTTTTTTTGCCCAAGGTAGCCAGTAAGGTGGCCAATAAATGCTCCGTGCACACGCGCAGCTGCAGTGTAGCATGTAGGCAGTGAGGAGCACAGCTTGGGAAGCTATGTCCAGCTGGTAAGTCTGTTGTGGTGGAAGGGGATGGGGAAGGGAAGGGATGTGGGGGGGGCGCAGATCAAGACCCCTGCGGTGAGGGAGGGGGCAGGGCAGGCACTGCCCGGGCAGGGCACAGGACGGAGCTGCGGTGGGAGGGGCCTCCTGCTGCTGCACACACCCCAGGAGGGCACAGGGGGCATGGGCCCCCTGGATCTGTGTGGGGGGCAGGGCAGGCTGGGGCTGCACTTGGAGCAGGGCAGGCTCTTCCCAGTAGGGGTGCTGTGCTGGGCTGTGCTCAGGGCGGGGTAGACGGCGGTGCTGGGAGAGACAGTTGGGGGGGCTATGGCAAATTTTGTGGTGACTGCAGCCCCCTTCCCCATGGTCCCCTCCCAGCACTGGCACAGCCCCAGCCTGCACCAGCAACCTGCCCCATGCAGATCTTGTGGTCACATGCCCCCCATGCCCTCTTGAGGTGTGCATAGTGGTGGGGGTCGCCCCACAGACAAGCCACTGCTCTGTCCCACGTGCCCCCCGCCCCGGGTGGGTAGCATCAGCCCCATTCCCACTCCCTTCCCCCTCCCCTTCCATCAAAACAGACTTACCAGCCACACACTGCTCTTCAAGCTGCTGGACTATGTCTTGGAAATCAGATTGGTATTGGCTGACATGCCTCCTTAAAAATCAACTATTGGTATCGGCCCCAAAAATCTCTCTCGGTGCAACCCTAGTAGTTACTGCACTCCAGCAGACTCCAGCATCAAATGTATCAGCATCTCTGCACTGAAAAATGGTGGCAGGGGCACCTTAACGAAAGCTCATCAAATGAGCTTTAGTTAAAACATCCCCGCTGCCATTTTTCAGCACAGGGATGCTGATACACATGATGCTACAGGCGCTTTAGTTAGAGTGGCTCTCGGAGTCTCTCTAATTAAGGTGTTTCCCTCCCTGTCCCAGGCTTTGATGGACTCCCAGGGTACATGTATAAATGCTACAGGTCTACGTCATGCCTCTCAACCAATGCTAGGGTAATATGCGAAAAGTTGTCCTTTTTACCCATGGCTATGCCTGCTTGTCAGTTTGAAGAGCAAGTGAATAAGTCGAGTAATTTCTATTAGCACAAACTCTCTTTAAAGACAGTTAATAAAAATAAGAGATGAGATCAGTTCATTAAAATATTCTCATAGTTGTAGTATTCATATTAAAACATTTGTGAATTGCAGTTCATCAAGATTATCATTTTAACAATTAATTTAAGATTTCTTTTCTGTAGTATTCTAAAATACTTTGCATTCATATTTTGTAGATGTATATTTTCAACATTAAAAATAACGTGTTATGCAGAACAATTTTTCATTAAAATTTAAATTGGATGTAGTTAAACTCCTCTTTACCAGAATAGTCTGGATTTTAATGCATAATTGAATTGTGAAAGCTTCTGGTCATGAAATCACTTCTGTATTAAGAGTATTTTTGTTTTCTTCAAAATGGAGGGTTTACTGCTATTCAAACAGTGGAGGTGAGCCTAGGTTTTTCAAATGAATGTCTTTTAAAGCTGTTCTTATGTCTGATGGATTGCCTTTTTGCAGTGTAAGATACTGCATTTCTTTAGATATTCTTTTCAATGGAATAATTTCTTTGAAGTGACTAAGCTTGATGAGACCAAAATAATCATTTCAAGAATGTGTTTCACTTCATGCCATTTATCTGAACCTCTGAATCTCTCTCTCTCTCTTTTTAATAAGTAAAACTTTTATATATTCACCAGTTCTGTCTCTGCACAATTTTTGAGACTGTGGGATCAATGCTGGAATACCAGTAGCTCTAAGAAACATTTAGGAGCTCCCTTCACTTTTTTCTCTTTCCTCCATCATGTATTTTAACTTAATCCATTTTTTTTCTTTTTTTACACATGAAGATGATGATGCAAATAGTATTGAACTGATCTGCTGTAGCATAGTTTAGTGATCCACCAAAAATATTTTGATTGTTTTTTCTTGTCTCTAATTGTAAATTGTATAATTTTCAGAAGAAATGTTGGCAAAGTTGTAAAGGAAGAGGAGTTTGTTCTGTGTCTGTGTGCTGTGAAGTTTAAGTGATGTTTGTAAAGTTTTTTTTTCAGTTTTTATATACAAAATTGTGTAAAATTTAGTACTTCTTGCAATAAGTTGTTTCTCATCCAAGAAGTGTTTAGATGGGGGTTTAATAAAAAAAAAAAAAAAAAAAAGTTACCCAAGCTGAACAGTTCATTGGACTAGCATGAGTAGGACATGCCTGTTTCTGTATGCAGTAGTACACAAGAGTGACTGGACAGCATTATGTTTGATCGACCACCTTTTTACTCCACAGATTGAATTATCATGTGCCATTCACAGCTGGATCAACTGAGGAAAGGCTTAAGGGAGCATTTAGCATAAGTGTAGAGCAGGGCTTGAATTTGTGCCTCTAGAGTGGTAACAGGATGCCTTAACTTCACCACTTCTGTGGCCTGGCACGTGGGAGCTAGTAAAGATGACACAGTTCTTATGGGTTCCACTGCTGTTCCAAATCCAATGGGTAGAAGAAAAATTAGAAAAATACATGTTAAATTCATTCTGCTGCTTGAGTAGTCTGCTGCTACCAGAGTTAGGTCATTAGGATAGAATTAAAAATAAACTTTGCTAAAAGGTAAAATACACAGCCAGGACTTTTGAAAAGTACTGTAAATGGGCAGTGGAAGAACTTGTCTCCAGTAGCCAGTAGCATTCCAGAGATTTTAACCTATTGTATGAGTTAGCCAGAGGCTGTATTGCAGCATGGAGCTCTGGACTGAGGTTTTAAGACTAGTGCCCTTTTATGAATCTTAGAACTTTCCCTCTTGCCCCCAAATAAATTGGGATGATTCCTTGGTCTATGGCTTGTAGATATCTGGGAAATTTTCAAAGCCCTGAAAAGAGCTAAGTATACAACTGTAAATGTGGTGAAATTCTTCAGACAGTTTACATTGATCTTACATTAAAGCAACCAGTTTTGCTCAATTTGAGCCCAAAGCTGCTTGGTTGTGTAGAATTTTGATCCAAGATTAGGTAGTTTTAAATGCTACCTCATTGTCTTTCTGTGGGCAGTGGAATAAATGCCATGATGTCTTTGTCATTAGTAGCTAAACTGGTTGTTAAAAACCCTGTCTTAACCTTGTCTTTGCAGACATACACAGAAGAAATACTGCAAAGACCATGTGCTTATGTAAATACAGTGGGTGTTACAAGACTGCTTGATTATCTGCAACTATGCCTAAATTCAGCTAGTTCTTCCTCTCACCTGCAGTTAATATATTATGCCAGAATAGATTTGAGTTTAATCATAAGCCTTTCTCCTTTCTTTAATAGCAGTTAGCACAACAATTTATGCCCTCCTTTGACCTGGATCTCATTTGTGCAATATGTTGTTTTCTTGGCTGTTCATAGATGTTAGGGTCGGAAGGGACCTCAATAGATCATAGAGTCTGACCCCCTGCATAGGCAGGAAAGAGTGCTGGGTCTAGATGACCCCAGCTAGATGCCTATCTAACCTCCTCTTGAAGACCCCCAGGGTAGGGGAGAGCACCACCTCTCTTGGGAGCCTGTTCCAGACCTTGGCCACCCTAACTGTGAAGAAGTTCTTCCTAATGTCCAATCTAAATCTGCTCTCTGCTAGCTTGTGGCCATTATTTCTTGTAACCCCCGGGGGCGCCTTGGTGAATAAAACCTCACCAATTCCCTTCTGTGCCCCCTTGATGATGTTCTTTGATTCATCCTTTTTAAATTTATTTCTGGATCATGAATCTTTTTAGCCAGGTGACAGCAACAGCCTCTGACTCCAGTGCTCAGGAGGTGCCTGTGTTTTTTTTCTCTTACTTTTGTGCTAGATGAGAACTCCCCCATTCCCCCCCCCCCCCATTCAGAGAATGTTTTGCTTAAGTACTTCAAAAAACTAGTCTGATTTCTTATGAGTCAAACCTACGTTTAAATAGTGTACGTTTAAGTTCTTTTAAGATGTAAGGTATTGCATGGCAATAGACATTATAACTTTTGACTTAGGAATGTTTGCCATGTTTTACAAAAAGACTGATTCCTTTTTAGCTGGTGGTATTTACATGAATTTAAAATTCATACAGGTGTAGTATGCTGTGTAGTAACAGCAGAGTTTTAAAAATATAGCAAATTACTAATTCCTACCTTTTAGTAGGAAATTCTCTGGGGAATCCTAATTTATTGTCCTTGTCCACAGAAATTTTGCCTTCTGTCAGAGAAGTGGTTCTTTTAAATCCTGTAAAGGATGCGTTGCTCTAGACCAGAGGTGGGCAAAATATGGCCTGCGGGCTGGATGTAGCCTGCAAGGCCGTTCTATCCGGCCTGTGGGGCCCCTGAAAAATTTAGAAAATGAATATTTATCTGCCCTTGGTTCCTGTCAAAAATGACAGTAGTAGGACCCAGGGGAAGCCCAACGGGCTCCCACAACAGCAGGGCTCACCTGGCCCTGCTGCGCCCCCCCCCCTC